ATAAGCCTAAAGGTTCTTGGATCTAGGCCTGTATCTGTACTATGGGCCCCGACTTGGCTAAGCTGCAGAAATGCAATGGCTGAGCAATAAAGCTCCTCAGGCAAAAGGTGTTAGGGTAGATGTAGTGGTGACAGTCATGTGCCAGCGTTGGTGTGTGGTGTGGTGGGGCCTGGGTCCTTTCTGGGTGAGATCTATCTATTTTTCTACTTCATCTGTGGCATGGTGATATCATATAGACATATTTCACCAACGTCCCTACTTTTTCCATCATTTGGAAGGCAGTTTGTAGCTCATTTTCTTATATCCTCTACTTCTGACATGTTATGGCGGGGAAGGGGAATAGGAATGGGAATAATTTGTGCACTTAGTGCCTGTAGGCTCATTTCAGAAAATTTATGTACTGCTTGAATACTGTAGCTGGTCAAGAGCTTATTTGAGTTCTCTTGTGGTCAGATTTTCTACCTGTCTATAAGCTAGCCTAGAAAAACACTGCATTTCAGCTGTAGGCACTGCTGATATTAGCCTAGCTACTCTTAAGAAACCTTCCTCTTTGATAAAGCTTTGATGATACTTTTGCTGAGTGATTTTACTACACAGCTGATCTTTAGCCATAGGGGGTCAGGCTGGGTATACAAAAATGTGCACTTATGAAACCCATTATATATAAATATATTTCTGAATAAAACTAGATATTTAGTCTAAAAATACTAATTAATGAGTATCAGAGTAAGAGAAATGCTATAGAGATATTGTTTGAAATTTGCAAATTACAAATAGAGCAAATTTTAATGAATTTTAAGTATGCAGCTTTGGAAGTAGGGAGTTCAGAAAATTGGATATTAATTTTCTTAAGCTCAAAAAACATGAAAGACTATGAAAGACAACAACAACGACAACAAAAAGCAACAACAAAAAACTCACAGGCTCCAGAACTTGTTGCCTCAGTTCTCTAACTTGCAGATTTTTGTCCTCATCAGCATGATCATGTTCATATTAGCAAATTATCAAGGTCTGCTTAGCAAACAATGCCTCTCGTCTCAACCCTTAGAAAGGCTCTGCCACATGCATGGACAACTTTCCATTGCTGTTCCACAGTGGAACTTCCCACTGAAATTAAGGGCTATCACAATCATAGCCACACTTGGGTGAAAAAGAAGAAAGAAAAAGCTTTTACTGGTCTCCAGTGTGAACTCATGAAACTTGGACTGTGGCCCTTGCCCCTTGCTATGTTGTCTGCCACTGCCACTATGAAATAGTTCTCTTATCTCTACTACTGCCCTTCAGGTAGGCTCCTATTAGCTCATGCCTTAGCACTGGCCTGAATCAGGCCAGCTCTTTCAGCCTTTCCGTGTATGCCATGTGCTTTCTATCCCCGGTAATCTTCATGAACCTCTGCTGACCTGTGTCCAGTTTCCCCACATCCATCCTAAGAAGTTGACATGCAGAAGCCTGTAATTAAAATGTATTTAAAATTGTCAAAGCACACAGTACAGTTTAATCCATCATACAAGAGCATTTATTTTGCAAGACAGAAGTCCAAGCTTTGTGCTTGTTTCTGCTTCATTCGCTTTCCTACCCTTCCTTTCTCTCTTTCTTCTTTTTTGAGTCTTTTTGAGTTTGCCTCTTGTCTACAAAGAGTGTTGATTAGGTGGCAAAGAAGAATCCACCTTCTTAGAATTGCTGAAATAAAAGACAGCATGAAGCTGGTAAATAATTTACAGGTTTTGGAGTGGTTTGTAAGACCTTATGTTCAAACTATGATTTCCCAGCAGTAAAATTGCAAGAAGAAAGATCATCAAAAGGCAGAAACATGTTTATTATTCTCTGTCTGTTCTTTCTGTCAGTTTATCTTATTTTCTCTCTAAAGGACAGAGCACTGGACTCAAGAAAAAAACAGCCCAAGATGAACTTTTATTCATTTTTTTCTCTCCATATGGAACATATAATACATTTTTAATGTATTTTTAAAAGACTGTCAAACAGAAATTTTCTTGACCAAAATAAATTACATACAGCTGGAGGGAAATAGAATGTAAGAAATGGTTTAAATGAGTCTCGCATTTTTTCTTTCAAACTATTTAATTATTTTACATTCTTTTATAAGAGTTTAATGAAAGGTAAGAATGATTTTTTTAATTACAGTTGGTGCAATAGAATCAAGTCAGCAATAACTTGCCATAAAGCCATGGGGCATATTTAACAATTACAATATTGAATGTCCTTCATTGAACCAGAGAAATTTTCCCCAAACCTGTGAGTCGAGAATAGAACAGCCTTGGAGGGAAATGACATTGGCTACATATATATTTGGATTAGAATTGTTTAAGAACAGAACTGTTCAGAGTCTTACAGCATCTTAGAGGAAATATCTAAGCTATGGAAAAAGCATCTGGAAAAGCAGTATGTTCCTGATAGGAGTCATTGCCAAGCCTAGCAGAATTTTAAAGAATATTCCTAAAATATTGCTACTGCAGCTCTCTTATCCTTGGAGACCTGTAGGATAAGGTGGGGTGGGACTAGCAATGATGAGGCAAAGAGCTGAGGAAAAGAGAGAGCTGAGGAAAATAGAGAACTGAGGAAAATGCAAAACATGTGGTCACTCTGGCCTCCACTAATATACAATTTTGTGGAAGTTGGCTGCCATTTCGAGGAATGTTTCCTTTAGACAATCTGGGGAAACATGAATTCATTAAGTGACATTAAAAAATATGGACCTTTAAAATAAGGTATGTAGATCCTGTACTTCTCTTAAAACAAGCTGTGTGAGACCTGCTAACTTATTTTGAAATAGCACAAAAAATAAATCAGACAATTTTTCCAGGGTTTCTTTGATTTACCTCTAGCATGCAACCAGGAAAAGGAAGTCTTATTCTTCACTGTCTTTAGCCTAAGATTTGGTACAGCTGGAGGTGCTGATGTTTCTTGTGCCCGTAAGACCTACTGTAAAAAGGGAGGTCATTGTAAAATGTACATATTTTGGATGTCTTTCTCATCCGAGAAAAAGGTAGAAAAATCACTGTACATATTAGTGAGGCATACAGTTTGGTGAACCTAAATACACTTTTTTTGGTCATTTATTATGTGTTAAGCTTACTGGACAAAAATGCAAAATCTGAGTTAAATTAAAAATAAAGCCTTTTTTTTTTTTTTTTTAGTTCCCTGAACATGTTCCAAACTTTTGTCTAAAAAAAAAAAAGAAAGAAAGAAAGACAGGCAGAGTAGAAAGAAGTCAATGCTCCTTTTTCTGAGTTCTTAAATACTGCATTGCCCTTTTACACTCCCATTTCTCTCAGGAAGCGGGTCTGGGAATGTTGAAAGATGTATCAATATATAATAGGAAGAGGAATTTATGAAATACCTTTGTTACTTTTTTTTTTTTTTTTTAATATCACCAAATCTTTGAATGCCTCTTAGAAGCTTTCTTTACTGGTCTTCAAATACAAGTAAAAATCATGGTCTACAATGCGCATTTATACAACTCCAAAGGCTTCATATTAAAAGACAAGCAGAATAGGAAACCTAATTAGGGACTTTGGAGACTGCAGTTCTTATGTGGTGCTGGTAAAAGCAGAGAGAGATGTTCTAGGACATCTTTGCACCCAAACGGGCTGTGAGGTCCTGCCTCAAGTAATAGATTGCTCCTTACCTGGACTGCTGCTGTAAGGAGGAGGTTCTGGATCCAGTGCAGCTCGCTCTCTGTGCATTGAACTGCTTTGTTAGGAGAGGCTGCATGGACCAGCACATTGCATAGAGCTGGTACTATGGAGACCTGTGTTCTAATTCTGCCTCCATCCACACCAACCTCTGTGGCCAGGAAAAAATCCTTGCCTGCTCTGTCTGCAGGACTTCTCTTCGCCTGGTCAGACACAATTGTCTCTTAATGTGACACATTGTCAGTTCTGGTGGAGATCTGATTTTGGCTGAGGTTAAATGACATAAAGGAATCTTAGATTTACAGATTTGACATGCATTTTCAGCGCATTCATTTCTCAAATAGATTACACTATTTGTTTCTTAGCATAAATTACCATAACTATAAATATCTCAGTGTTCCTTATTTGATTTAAGAAACATCATGCTTTATCTCCTTTTGAAAATACTTCTTTTTGCCAGTTTACAATGAGGAATCTATAAATTGGAGCATCAGTCCAAGTAGTCAGTATAGCAATAGACAGAAATAAATGTATGAAATGCGACAATTTGTCTCTCCTCTGTTTCTAGAAATGCTTTCCTGGTAAAGAGCTTGCCATTTTTTTTTTACTTCTGTCTGTTATTGTTGCTTGTTTGTTTGTTTTGTTTTGTTTTCCTTTTCCTCTTCTCATTAAAGAAGAAATTAAGACAAAGTAAGTGCATTGCCCAAGTTCATTGTCTTGGTCTGGCAAATGCAGGACTAGAACTCGGACTAGAACTGTCTTGCCTCTCGTATTCTTCCACTAGCTAATAAACAATACTCTGCGCCTACTCTTCCTTTCATCTCCTTACATAAGTCTTTTTCTGCAAGGTCTCCTTTACATCCTTTCATTTTCTCCCTAATCTGCCTGCTCTGTAGCTTGCCGCTTGTCCTTTCTTACACATTGCAATTCATCAACAAGAGGTAAGGAGGCAGAAGAGCTGTGAACTTGAATGAGATTTTCTTTGGTAGGGACTTCTGAATTCCCCAGATAGACCTTTTTACAAGTGTGGGTTCTAGTAAAAAGTGCAGTACACTTTCCTGGGTTGGTTTCCATAATGCACAAGTGATACATATTTATTGTATTAAAACCTAGCTTAAAATGCAAGCTCAGACTCTGTTAAACCCCCAGAACCACATATATGATCTCACATATGCATAATTTGTCTGAACCAGACTAGATGGACATACT